GCCTGAAACCTAAAGAGTTGGCTCTGCCTCACGAAGCTCTCTTCTCCCTTTACTCATTGGAATACACATCTACCACAGGTTTAAGAACCTAGTGTTCAACTCAAGCCTAATTCAGAGCAATAACTATAGCAAACATTTTCAGCAGACAGGAAACCACGAGGGCAGCTTCTTTCTTTCTACACTCCTACTACTTTTATGGAACTGCCCAAAAGTAGCCATGTCTTTTAGGTAAACTAATGAATTCCATTCTCAAATACTGCCTCTTTCCCCCTTGTAGTGTTTCCAACAACAGAAACAGAGGCCTCAGTTCAAGTGGAAGAAACTAGAGAAAGGATGTTAAAATTATTTCCAGGGTTTACCCATAATCTAATAAGATATTCAAAATCTTATTAAATTATCCTTCTCAAACATCTTAACCGTAGCCAAGGGAAAGAACTTTAGACAAATGGTACCAGAAAAGGTACCCAACTGAAAATATTATGTATTGATGATGAACAAACAAGAACCTACAGAACTGTTTTCTTCCAAGCAAGCTGAAATGAAAACATCTTTGTTGCACTAAACTAAATCAAGAGTAAATTGTTTAAGCTCACTGAGACAAGTTGCAAGGGCAACTGTCGAATTATCACAGATCATTAGAGCAAAAGTCATTGTTTACTGTAAAATCATCAAAAGGATGAAAGTTCATAGACAGTTTAAAAAATCCACCAGAAAAACTGGAATAGGCATTAAAATTTAATTACAGAAAAACTAAGATGCTTTTTAAAAATACACCCCAAACTGGTACACTAAGGCATCACTGGTGGAATTGTGAACTGATCCAACCACTCTAGAGAGCAATCTGCAACTATGCCCAAAGGGCTATAAAATTGTGCATACCCTCTAATCCAGTAACACCACTACTAGGTCTGTATTCCAAAGAGATCGTTAAAAGGGGGGGGGGGAGACAACCCACATGTACAAAAATATTTATATCAGTGGCAAAGAACTGGAAACTACAGGGATGGACATCAATTGTGGAATGTGTGGTTTACGAATGTAAGGGAATACTATTGTTCTATAAAAAATAATGAGCAGGAAGATTTCAGAAAAACCTGGAAAGACTTACATGAACTGATGCTGAGTGAAGTGAGCAGAACCAAGAGAACACTGTACACAGTAACAGCCACATTATGCCATGATCAACTGTAACTGACTTAGCTCTTCTCAGCAATACAATGATTTGAGCTTTGTTTTTGGATTTTTGTTCTTTTCTTTTATCCTTTTGTTCTGATTCTTCTTTCACAACATGACTAACGTGGAAATGTTTAACATGATTCTACATGTATAACCTATATCAGACTGCTTGCTGTCTTGGGGAGGGGGAAGAGAGAGAAAAATTTGAAACTCGAAATCATACAGAAATGGATATTGAAAACGATCTTTACATGTAATTTGAAAAAAATATATTAGGTGGGGAAAAAAAGCATTTCCCATAACCATCCTAAAATCCCTTTTCTGCCCTTTAAACTTCGAACCTTTGCTATGTATATAATTTGCTTTATAATTTGGAGAATAAAAGACTTGAGATATATATTTATACTTTGCTTATGGGAGTAGAAATATCACGTGTAGAAGTTTAAGGATGAATTTTAACATAAATAAGCAAGGTTCCAAACACTGCTTGGCTCCTCTTCTATATATTATAGAATACTAACACTTTCAATAAGTGTTTATATTTTCTTTTTTTCTAATCACAATGAATGCAACAAATTCAACCTTTCTACTCCTTGGTGAATAAATTAATAAAAAATGTTTAATACAAAGGACTTTCTATATTGAAAACCTCCAGAATAACCTAACCATGTAGTGCTACCCTAAAGAACACCAATTTTGAGGTAAAATAATCTTAAAATAGCTATATTTTCCTTCCCTTTAGCCTAAAATAAAATCAAACTGCCAACAGCAAAAGCTCAAGACAACAAAGAGAAACACATGAAATAAACTGTAAATAAAATAATTTTTTATAGTTTTGTTTTAATGAGTCAGTCAATAAATATTAATTAAGCAAATTACTGTATGCTAGGGATATAAAGACAGTCCCCTGCCCTCAAGGAGCTCAGTCTAGTGGGGCAGACAATAGGCAGGAAATTATGTACAAACAAGCTAGCTATATACAGGACAAACAGGAAATAATCAACAGATGGAAGGGCCTAGAATTAAGAGGGATCAGTAAAGACTTCTGGTAGAAGGTAGATTTTATCTGGGAACTGAAGAAAGCCAGGAGGTGGAGATAAGGAAGCATATTCCAGTCATGGGGAACAGCCAAAAGTTGGGAAGTATCTTCTTGTTCATGGAACAACAAGTAGTCCTGAGTCACTGTACTGCATGGTACATGGGGGTATAACAGAAGACTGGGATGGTGTGGGGAGGAGAGAGCTAGGTTATGAAGGGCTCTGAACACTAAAATGGGGAGTTCATATTTTATACTGGAGTTAAGTGAAAAGCAAAGTTAGGATAAATGGAGGATGGATTGTAATGGGGGGAGACTCATGGCAGGCAGACCCACCAGCAGCAGATCACTGCAATAGTCCAAACAGGTGATAAGAGCCTGCACCAGAGTGATGGCTATGTGAGGAGACAAAGGGGTGCATGCAAGTGATGTTACAAAACTAACAGCCCTTGGCAGGGTACTAGATAGGTGAGGAGGATGAGGAGGTAGAGTGAATTATTGAGGAGACATACCTAGGTTATAACAATGGGTAATTGGGAGGATGGTAATACCTTCAACAACAACAGGAAGTTAGGAAGAAGAAAGTGTCTATTGGGGAAAGATGAGTTTAAGATGTCTATGGGAAACATCCAGTTCAAGATGCCCAACAGGACAGTTTGATACATGAGCATGGTGGTCAACAGAGGCTAGGGTGGAATAAAAATGTATGAGAATTAGCACCGAAGTGATAACCGAATCCTTGGAAGCTGATGAGATCAAGTGAAAGAACTAGAGGTCAGAAATTTATTTTGCTCAGAAACACATATGTGGGCAGTTCATGAATAGTATGTTTAACTTGGGATCTGGAAGACTTCAAAGTTGTGTGATCTTAGGCAAATTACCTCTCAGCCTCAGTGTCTCATCTACACTCACAGGCGTGCAAGAATCAAATGACATAATGTATGTAAAGTGCCTTGTAAGCCTTTAAGGGTTATATAAATGCTAATGAGGAGCCTCCCCATCAGATAACCCTCCATGAACCCAGACCAGACCTGAAAGGGAACAGAGAAAAGCTCCATTCAGGAAAGATTGGAGAGTTCCAAAAAGTGAATCATACATGAATTCCAAAAAGGGCAAGGGCCAGGGCTTATCACATTCAGTTGACTAACTGAAATTCAAGGCATGAATTAGGCCTTGAAACACTAACCATGCCACACATGCATTCAACTACCAAAAACATGGTATGCTATACGTTGAGCAGAAAAGTTGTCCTCCTAAAAACAAGGCTGAAAATGCAATGATTGCATAAAAAGACAAAAAATTTAAAAAGCTGTAAATTAAGTTTGGTCCATAGCAAAGGGATGTTTCGGTTCATTTGAAAGCATAAAACAATAATTGCGAAATATAGCTACCCAGGTTTTGTTAGCAGAAGAAACAGCATTATGTGAGGCAGGAAAAGCCTTTAACTAGAGGATTCTCAAGTTTTTTGACAATTAGCTATCCAGACAAAGAAACAAAGCACACTACCTGCTCTTTCTGGATTTCAATCCTTAACCAAACAACTGCAAGTTCACAAAGGAGAAAATTTCTGATGTTGTAAATTTAAACCCCCTAAACTCTCAAGCTAACTGCCACATTTGCTTCTCAGTCCTCCAAGATGACAGTAACTGTTGCCCCAGTTTTAAGGAATGGAATCTTTATCTCCTTTAAGAACCCACTGAATGACTTTTAAGCAGAGAACCAAGAAAAGAGAAGAAAATACAACACTATCTCATTGCCAAAATTTCTTCAGGACCCTCTGAAATGGCAACAGGAAACATTTACTTTAAATTTTTATTCTAAGCTATGCCCTCTCTCCAACTAATTAGCCAATATTGATAATGTCTTTAAAGGTCTTCTCAAATGCTTCTATTACCTATAAATTACACTAAAATAAAAATGCCAATAACAGATTTATAGATTTGAAACTATTCTAACTAACAACCTAACTAATTTAGAGAAACAAAAATTCCCAGCTCAAAAGGGGAGGTGGGGGGAAAAGACAAACAGAAATCAAGTGGTACTATAAAATATCCAGGCACCAAACTATGTTATAGAAACAGCAATCATAGAAATACTTTGGTACTGGTTAAAATAGGAAAGTTTATCACTGGAGCACACTAAATAAGAATCAGAAATAATCAAACTCAATAACTTAGTAAGAAGCTAGTATTCAACCCCAGAACATAAAATTATGCGGTAAAGGTCTCCCTATTTCACAAGAAATTCTGGGGAAATTAGATGTCATTTTGGCAAAAGGCAGGCATAGACCACCATCTTACACCATATGTCACCATAAAGTCTAAAAACACAGTACATTTACATAAAGAAGGCTACATCATATAGGAATCAAATTAAATAGGAAAACAAATAAAAGTGTGTTTGCCAGTGATTGGGGGAAGGGAATTCTTAACCAAACAATGGACAGAAGATCTAAGAAAGATAAAAATTAACACCAGCTTCAATGCTTCCCAGACATCTCCACTTAACTCCATGGATTTCACTGCTACAAACACCCTGACCCATTCAGCATCATCCCTTGATTCCAGGCTCCTACACTACTACCATTCTGCCTCCAATGACCCACCTCAGCTCAGTTCCCCTTTATGTGTGATCTTCTCACATTAGAGAAGGCAGAGATTGGACAGTCCCTCTTTTATTTTTATCCCTAGAGCTTAACACAGTACTTGCCACATAATAAGCACTTAATAAAAACTTCATCTTTCTATCAATAGCCTCTCCCACAGAAACAGAGATGCTATTAATGTACCTTTAAGAGGGAACAGAATCTTGGAAAACTGGCTGTTTAACTGTCATTCTAAAGACATTTAACTTGGTGACTAAAAAGAGAACATCTTTCCTATGAGAACGGTTTTAACTCTTATATTACAAAGAAACATTAAGAAAATTCTTGAGAAGAGGCTTTGATTTAAATCCTGAGGCAGCTGAACGGTGAGCCCAATTTACAGAATTGAGAAGTAAGCAGTAGCAGTGATGGTTGAAAGTAACTCGGACAGTGATCTTTCTCACAGGGTACTGTAAATAATTATTTGTTGTCTTTGTTTTAGTATTTGTTATATTGTTAATAAATTATATAGTCAGGGATTGACACGTTTAATTCTAGGAGATTTGGAGTATACGCACATAAATATGTAAATTAAATTAAAACGTATTAAAAATTGCTGAGTTGATGAGTGAAAATATAAGCCAAGTTATAAGAAAATAAATTCTTTTTTAGTTAATTTATTTTTAGTTTTCAACATTCACTTCCATAAGCTTTTGAATTTTAAATTTTCTCCCCCTTCTTCTTCACCCCTCTCCTCAAGATGGCATTGCAATCTGCCTATAGGCTCTACATAAAGAAAACAAATTCTTATACTACATAAATTGTTTGCAAAAACAGAGAAATCTTTCCACATTCTTGAAATACAATTATGAAATTTAAACTATAGGGAGAAATAAAGCAGAAAAAGAAAACCATAGAATAGCTAAAACATTAACAGAAAAATATTAAATAAAATATAAGCCAAGAGGTTACAACAACATATTTAATACTCATTTATGTTTTAAAAAAAAATCAGGCATGTAGCTCAAGCTTGTGACCCCAGCTACTGAAGAAACTAAGGCTGATGTTTGCTTGAATTGGGCGTTAGGAACTGTAGTAGCCAACTGATGCACTAGCGCCAAAATGGTGACCCTCTGAGAAGGAGGTCACCAAACTACCTAAGAAGAGTTGAATTGGTGCAATATCAAAAAAAAAAAAAAGGAAGTAGAAACTTCTCTGTGCCAATCAGTACTTGAATAGAGCCTACTAAGCGGCCCCTATTCCTCCAACATGTACAAGATAAGGATACTTTCTCTAAAATAAAATAAGAACCACCAGCCAACTTTCCTCAAAACGGTAATCCCTATTAATCAAAAGTCAAGAATTCGCATTATCTGTAATGGAGAAACACCAGGCCTTTCCAACAAGATTAAAGTTTGAAAGACTGCCCACTCACCTCTATTACTAAATAGATTCAGAAACACAAGTTATCACATTAAACAAATAAAAAGAAATCCAGGGAATACAAATAGGCAAAGAGGAAACAAAAACACCACTATTTAGAGATAATATAATGGTTAACCTATGGAACCCTAGAGAGTCAACTAAAAATTAAGTGAAACTTTAAGTTCAGTAAAATACCAGGATATAAAATAAACTAATAAAAACTCATAGACTTTTTGACTCAAATCTTGGTGCCATATAACCATATAACTAGCTAGCTAGTGAAGTAGAGATCTGGGCCTGGAATTAGCAAAACCTAAACTAAGGCACTTCAATCAATAAACATTTACTGTTTTAAACACTTTCTAGCTGTGTGACCTGGGCAAATTACTTAACCTCTGACTGCCTCGGTTGTTTCAACTGTCACATGGAATAGCATCTACCACCTAGGGTTTTTGTAAGGATCCAATGAGTTAAGTGTCTACCACTTAAAAAGCAGAAGATAATGGAAGAAAGCAGTATCTTTATCTTTCCCAATTATGGCAAGAGGGAGGAAAATTCTTACCTGTTAAATAGGGGATTAAAAATGATCAAAAAAAGAGATGAACTATTTATATTACAACTTAAAAGTTTCTGCACAAGAAAATTAAATTCTGTTAGAATCACGAGGGAAACCATTTGGAAAAAAAATTTCAACAAGCTTCTAACAAAGGTCTAATGTCCAACATATAAAAAAGATTCATAAGAAAAACAACCATTCCTTGATAGATTAGTGATCAACCAATATAAACAGGCTTTTCTTCTCTGGTGAAGAAATGCTCCAATCAGATCAAAACAACTCTGAAGTTTCACTTTACACTCATCACATTAGCAAAGATGACAAAAGAAGAAATAATCATTAGAGCAGTTTGTGGAGGACAGGTGGATGAGTTTACTATTTAAAGAGCTAAGAATAGTTCAAGTTTTCTAGAAAATTATTTTGAAACTATAGCAAAGAAGGTCAGGTCAACTAAAAGAGTGTGCGTGTATGTGCACGAGCCCACGCGCGCGTGTGTGTATATGCACACGTGCATACATAACTGTTTATGTGAAAGGTCAGGAACAAAGGATATAGGCCCTGCACATACAGAGTCCTGTGATCTTTCACTGGTTGGCTGCCCTCTCCCGTGTTACTACTGTCATTGAATAAATTGTTCTGGTTTTTCTCACTTCACATAAATCTTTCCATTTCTCAGAGTCTGTTATAATTTTCATTTCTTTTGGTGAAATAAAATCCCACTGTGTTCACATGCCACAATTTTTTCAGCTAAGGCTCCATGGATTTTTTCTCATGTTTGTTTCCAATACTTTATAACAACAAAAAGCATAGCTCAGAACTTCGGATATAAGCAGTAGCCAAACAACTGAGAATGAAGCATTTTTGCCCCACTTAGTGAAGAAATAATGGACTAGAGGTACAGAATCAGATATGGGTTCTCAGATGTGGCCAACATCCTGTTTTCTTTTCCTTATTTGTAAGGAAGCTGTATAACTGACCCTAATTTGTATATTAAGGGATGGCATCTACTCGGAAGAGAGGAAATAGTGACAAATCTGAAAAAAAGTCAAAAGTATTTTTAAAAGTTAAAAAAATGTCAAAGCAAAAAAAAAAGTAACAAATTCTGATTCTAAGAACAAACATTTTACAAGACTGTTAAAGACTGTACAAGACTGAGATCAACCACTCCATCAGAATTCTGTCAATCTCCAGATCTCGTTGAATCTTCCATTGCTGACAGTGAGTGGGAGACAGCTACAAAAAACATTCCCTATGGAGCATTCATTTTTAAATGGAAGATTTAGTATGCAGGTTTAGCAGTAGAAAAATTTAGAAGCATGCTTAAATTACAGCAAGATGCATCACAAATAAGAACTGAGTAAAAACATCACAAAAGGAACCTGGGAATCTTTTTTTTTTTTGGCTAGGCAATGGGGTTAAGTGACTTGCCCAGGGTCACACAGCTAGTAAGTGTCAAGTGTCTGAGGCTGCATTTGAACTCAGGGCCCGAGCTCTATCCACTGCGCCACCTCACTGCCCCAAACCTGGGAATCTTCTATGGACAGATTCCTTGTTCCTCATTAGGAACGAAGGATGGGGCTAGGAATGGAGGCCAGCCCTGACCCCTAAAACAGTAATCATAAACTAAGAAGACCACCATCAAGATTCAATCAAAGCAGAACTATTTTCTGTCCAGAAATGTGGGCCAGAGGAAGCTAAGACATCTAAAGAACCAATATCAAGAAATAAACAGCACTTAGACCAAGTTATCAAGAACTGAAACATGACAGGGGCAGCGAGGTGGCACAGGAGATGGAGCACCAGCCCTGGAGTCAGGAGGACCTGAGTTCAAATCCAGCCTCAGACAGTTGACACTTACTAGCTGTGTGACCCTGGGCAAGTCACTTAACCCCACTGCCTAGCCAAAAAATAAAAAAATTTGAAACACAATGACAGAATTTTGCTGAAAAATCTGTTTTCCAAAAGCAGTGCAAGCAATAAAAGGAAAGCAGAAAGTTGGGAAACAATTTTTACAGCAACTGTCTCTGATAAAAGCCTTGTTTCTCATATATAGAAAGAACTGAGTCAAATTTATAAGAATACAAGTCATTCCCCAATTGATAAATAGTCCAAGGATGTGAACAGGCAGTTAGTTTTCGAATGAAGAAATCAAAGCTCTCTACAGTTATAGGAAAAAATGTTCTAAATCACTACTGATTAAAGATTGCAAATTAAAACAACTCTTGAGGTATTACCTCATACCTATCAGATTGGCAAATACAACAGAAAAGGAAAATGACAGATGCTGGAGAGGATGTGGAAAAACTGGGACACTAATGTACTGCTGGTTGAGTTGTGAAGCGATTCAACCATTGTGGAGATCAATTTGGAACTATGCCCAATGGGCAATCAAAGTGTGTATACCCTTTGATCCAGTAATACCACTACTAGATCTGTATTCAAAAAGAGATCATAAAAACGGGGAAAGGAGCTATAAGTACAGACATATTTGTAGTAGTTCTTTTTGTAGTGACAAAGAATTGGACACCAAGGGGATGCCCATCATTTGGGGAATGACTGAACAAGTTGTGGTATACGATCGTGATAGAATACTGTTGTGCTACCAGAAAAGACGAGCAAGACGGCTTCAGAAAAACCCGGAAAGATCTATGAACTGATGCAAAGTGAGTGAGCAAAATCAGAAGACACCGTACACAATACCAGCAACACTGTAAGATGATCAGCTGTGAATGACTTAAGTATTCTGATCAATACAATGTTCCAAGACAAATCCAAAAGACTCATGATGAAAAATGCAATCCGCCTCCAGAGAAAGAATCGACGGAGTCTGCAAATAGAAGCATAATTTTTTTACTTTATTTTTTTCTTGCTTTTTTTGTTTAACATGGATAATATGGAAATGTTTTGCATTATTTCACAGGTATAATTGATATCACATTTCTTGCCTTCACAATGGGGGGGAGGGTACAAGAGGAAAAGAATGTGGAATTCAAAAAAATTTTTAAATGAACGTTAAAGATAAATAACAACTCTTTCAAAATAAGAAATCCTGATAATCATCTATACCATCAACCAACTTATGCACAGTTTTTAAAAGTTAACAGGAAACAAAAGTACAACCAACCAACCTTTAACTAGGCTAAATTATTTATGATGTAGGAAAAGTAGTTACTAATACATAATTCTGCTTCATACCTTATGTATTTTAGTCAACAGCCAATACACATTTATTAAGCGCCTACTGTG